TAATGATTATTAATACACTGACTAGTAATATTATTAAGCACTGGAGCTGAATGCCTGGGTTCAGACACAAGTTGTTCACTTACTGTAAGAACATAAGAAACCTCTTTGTATCACCCTATGTAGAATGAAAACCTCAATAGTCTTTATTTTATGGCGATATAGTGAGGACTAAATGAACTAATGTTATTTAAAATATTTACATTAATGCTTAGACCATGGTGTTCAGAGAGCTGGAAAATGACTAGAGATGACAGTAGAATTGATGTTTTTAAGTTGTGGAGGCTGGGCTGTATGAGGAGAAGTGTGGCATCAGGATTGGAGGGAGATTCATCAACAATCTGTGTTATGCAGATGACACAGCTCTGTTTGTTGAAACTGAGGAGGACCTGAAGTGCTTGCTGCAGAACGTCAAGGACTGTAGCCTTCAATACAGATGAGGCTCAATATCAAAAGACAAAGATTCTTACCACTGGACAACTGGTAGCATCAGGATGGACGATGTAGAGATTGAGATTGTTAATGGCTTTAGTTTGCTTGGCTCTACGGTCAACACTCATGGCACCAGCAGCCAGGAAATTAAAAGACGCATTGAGATAGAAAAGTCTGCTATTAGAGACCTCTCCAAGTATTGAGGAGCAATTGGTGTCTCTTTGGAGACTAAGCTGCATCTGAATCAGGCCATAGTCTTTGCAATCACTTGCTATGCGTTAGAGAGTTGGACAATGACTAGGGAAGACAGAAGGAGAATTGATGCCTTTGAACTGTGGTGATTGAGAAGAGTATTTAATATACCATGGAATGCTAAGAAAACAAACAGGTTCATCATGGAAAGGGTTAAACCAGGCTGCTCCTTGGAGGCAAAGATTCTGAAGTTTTGTCTGACATACTTTGGACATGTTGCAAAGAAGGACCAGTCTTTGGAGAAGGACATCATGCTTAGGAGGGTGGAGGGACAGCACAGGAGAGTAAGATCCTTGATGAGGTAGATTAATTCAGTGACTGGGGTTATGGGTGTAAGTGTGTCAGAGACATTGAGATTTGCATAGGATAGAGCAGGGTTTAGGGCTGTTTTACATAGGGTCACTATGAGTCGCAGGCCACTCGATAGCACATAACAACAACAATGTTGACTAATGATCAAGAATTGTTAAGTGCTGATGAATTGACTCTGACTCAAAATGACTCTCTGCAAAAAAAAAAAAAATTGACTCTCTGCACAATAAATCAAACATTGCCTCTGAAAACCCACTGGAGGGTCAGCTATGGGTTGGTTTCAACTCAGCTACATAACACAATAGCATGTTTGGGTGGGCTCAAACCAGCTTCACCTAGTCCAAGTCTTAAGCTTAGATTTAAGCCCATAGTTGCAGTCACTGTGTAATCCATCTCTTTCCTCTTGAGGGTCTTCCTCTCTTTCAATGGCCTACTGTTCAAGCATGATGACTTTCCCCCAAGGGCTAGTATTTCCTGACAAGATATCTAAAGTATGTGAGACAAAGAAAGTCTCATCACACTTGCTTCTATGGAGCCCCAAGGTTTTATTTTGTTCCAAGGCAAGTTTGTTTATTCTTTTGGCAGATAATGATCTACTCAGTATTTTTTGCCAACACCTAGGAGCTCCGATGGTCTAGTGGGTAAGAAGCTGGCTGCGATGCCAACCTAAAGGCAGGCAATATGAATCTACCAGATGATCTGAGGAAGAAATAAGGACAATCTCCTTCCTTGCAATTTTCAGTGTCTGAAAAGCCACTGGACAGACAGCTATGAGTCAGTTCCTGTTACTCTGCAATGACTTGACTTGCCAACACCAGAAATTAAGTGCAGGGATTCTTCAGCCTTCTTTATTTATTGTCCAACTTTCACATGCATATGGGGGAACTGAAGAAAAAAAAAATTAACAAGTGCAAGACTTCTCAGAGTTGAAAGCTATTATCTTTATCTAACAATCTTCTCAGTATTTTTTGCTTCTCTGAAGGAGAATTGGGCTAGAGAAATGAGTTCTTGGAAATGCTACTGGCATCAAATCTAAGGTATTCTGTTGCTAACCAAAAGTTTTGCGGCTCAAATCCATCAGCTGTTCTTCTGGAGAAAGGTGAACAGTCTTCTTCTGCTATGAATTACAGCCTTGCAAACATGATTTAGGGACCATGAGTTGGAATTGACTGGGTAACAGTGGGTTTTTTTGGTTTGGAATCTTAATCTTTAAAGTTAGTAATCTTTTCACTAGATTCAATAGCTGTTTTGCATCTCATCTTGTATCTTTAGTCGCCAGCAGAGGGCTGGGTACTTCCTGAGGTGTTTAATGTGTGACTGGCTTCTGGGTGCTCTGATATTGCCTCTGACTAAGTGCATGTGGCCACTTCTTTCACAATTGACTTGAGTACTAATTTATGGAGTTTAGTACCTGGGACATATGCTTTAGAACAACAAATAATCCTGTTTATTGATTAATGAAATACAAATGGGTTCTTCAAATTATCAAGTAGAAAAAGCATGTCTTTGATTATAGAAACAGAATCTAGTAGATTAGATTACTTAGCTAAATTTAAGACCACCATTTACCTCAATGGAATTTATTGTTTTGATTGTGTGGAATTAAGAGCTTTTGACTATTACTAATGTGTCACTCACCCCTTGCTATTGAGTTGGAACTGACTCATAGCTAACCCTCTTGGTTCCCCAGGTTCTAAATTGCACAAGAGGAGATTGTTTAATCTTTCTCTTGAGGAGCAACTATCCATTAGATCCTCAAGAGAAGCTTGGCCTTTGGGTCAGCAACACAACACCCAAGGACAAGGCCATCTAGATACACTATTGTGTTGTTTGTGAAAATAAAGGGAACCAACACCACAAATCAAAGGCATTGATTCTCTTCTCATCGTTAGTCATTGTCCAGCTCTCTGATGCATGGCAAGTAACCTATCATGGTATTACCAATGGTAGTGGCCCAGTGGTGAGAATCACTTTGCTCTTTTTTTTTAAAAAAATTGTGTTTTATACAATCATTGTCATACATTGTGTTTTATAAAATTAACCACCATTGAACTATGCTCACTATGTCCCATCTTTTCATGCCCCACTAGATCTCTCCTAATTCCGTTACCCACTACCTCTGCTCATTAAATTAATTGTATTCTTGATGTTGAGCTTCAATTCATGTTGAAGACTATACTCCTTGCTCTTCTGTAACAAAGGTTTCAGGTTCTCTCAGTTTCAGCAAGCAAAGTTGTGTACTCTGCATAGTCCAGGTTGTTGATGTGTCTTCCTCCAAACCTGATGCCACATTCCTCTTTATTAAAGTCCAGCCTCCCAATTGATCAGTTCTGCATATAAATTGAAAAAGTATGGAAGCAGGATGCATCCTTGATGTCCTGTTTTTATGATTTTGAATCATACAGTGTTTCCTTGCTCTGTTCTGATGACTGTTTTCTGGTCCAAGTATAGTTTTTGCATGAGCACAATCAAGTGTTCTGGGATTCCCATTCTTCTCAAGGTTAATCACAGTTTCTTGTGATCCACATAGTCAAATGCCTTTGCATAGTCAGTGAAGCACAGTTAGACTTTCCTCGGGTACTAACTGCCTTAAGCCAAGATCTATATGACATTGGAAATGATATCCCTAGTGCTGCAGCCTCTTCTAAGCCAAGCTTTTTTAGTTCATAGTTTTCTGTCAATTTCCACACTCTGTCAGATCATTTTTTCTGAAATGGGAATAAATATGGATTTCTTCCTGTTAATTGGCTAGGTAGTTGCACTCCAGACTTCTTGGCACAACCTGGTGAGTGTGTCCAAAGCTGGATCTGTTTGTTGAAATATGTCAATTAGTGTGCCATCAATTCTAGGGGCTTGTTTTTTGGTTAATTTCTTCAGCAGCTTGAATTTGCTCTTTCATAACCATTGCCTCCTGATCATATGTTGGTTCATAAAGTTCTTCTGTGACAGCCAGTTCTTCTTGATACACTGTGTACTCCTTCTATTGTCTTTTAATGCTTCCTTGATTATTCAACATTCTGCTCATCTCATCTCATCTCATCTCATCTCATCTCATCTCATCTCATCCTTAAGTATTGCAACTCGAGGCTTGAATTTGTTTAGTTCTTTAACCTTAAGAAAGCTGAGCGAGTTAGTTCTTTTTGATTTTCTGACTCCAGCTCTCTGCACATTTTATTACAATGCTTTGCTTTGTCTCTCTATACTGTCTTTTGAAATCCTCCCACTCCGCTTCTTCTTGATTTCTTCCTTTTGTTTTGGCTTTTCAACTCTCTAGTGCAATATTCAGAGTCCCTTCTGATATCCATCTAGGTCTTTTCTTCCTGTTCTGTCTTTGTAATGATGCATTTTTCATGGATAATATTGTTGATATCCTCCCACAGTTCATCTGGTCTTCACTCACTAGTGTTCATGTTCTCAAACCTATTTCTAAGACGGTTTTTAAATTCAGGAGGGTCAACTTTTGGTTCTTGTGGATTTGCTTTACTATGCAAATTTACAATGCAACTCCAACTCCTAATTTGGATCACATCTCTCTTGCTGCTTTTTCTTTGTCTATCCTTTCTTCCTTTCTCTCATTTTCTATGAAACATTTAAGCTCTTTCCCTCCTCAGGACTCTGATCATCTCTCCCTCTGCATTCATTGCTTTCTACACATGTCTTTACTCATCCTTTCATTACTTCTTCATTTAAGTGTCTCTCATTTCTGAGGTCATTAAAAAAATATCCTTTTCAAAAGACTCTCCTCTGTTTACCAAATTGGAAGCAGGTTGCCCTTGTAAATCAAAGAATGAACATAACTTTATCAGAATTTGTTTGTTGCCTTATTAACTATTTTACTTATAGTCTGTGACCCATGTGAGGACAGAAATAAAGAATCATTTCCTTATCATTATATACCCAATGCACAGTACATAGTACATGCTCAATAAAAACTGGCTTGAGTAAATAGGAGAGTGGCTATTACCAATGCTTTGTTGACAAAGTTCTATTTGCTGTTGAATCCTTAGATTCCCTGTTCTTCATCTTCTAAAGAGATGAAATCCATTACCAGGATAAGAAGAACATTTTATAGAGTAAGTATTTAACAAAAAAAAAAAGTGAAACAATTGGATTTTTTAAAAATATGAAAATTTGCTCCATTAATATTTCTACTTTCTCTGCAGATTGGAAAGAAAGGCATATACAAAGCCATTGGTGAACTAGATATCCTTCTTTCCTGGATTAAAAACTTTCTGGAAAGCATTATATTTTGAGATATTTTTTTTTTATGATCACTATTAGAAACCAATTCCAAACATTCATTTCCTGGTCTCTGCTCATTTAAAAAATTTAGTACAGAGTACCTATTCAGAGTAGACTAAAAGAATTTTACTAAATGTTGCTTTGGAAATAAATTATCACTAACACATGGATCATTTACATTTTAAGGAGTGTTTATTATTTGTCCATGTTTTGTTATTCACAGTATGATTTTAATTTAAAGTTCTAGAATTTTAAATAGCTTATGTAATAATATTTGAAGAGGGAAAAGAACTGATTTCTGCATTTAATATAATGTTATTGAGATGCAGGTAGTTCTATGTAAATAGATATTGTCTGTTTAGGGGTTTGACGATTGCTCAGTATGTTCAATGTGACCTTAGCTCTTCACAGACATTGATTTCAATTAAATAAACTGATTTTTTCTTTCTCCTGGTATCCTTTTAATGACAATATACTAGAACTTCATTGAATGTAATGAGCAATGACTAGATCAGACAGGAGATAGCTAACTAAGGGTTTTGAATGATTTGCTGGGAAGGTCTTTGTGTGATAACACCAGCCACAAAGACCACAAGTATGAGAGTTGAAATGATGCTGAAGCTTTATTTTGGGTGCTGTGTTCTTAGGAAAGTTGATGTGGGGAAAATAGAGGTCCAAGTACAGCTTAAATTCCACTACAGTAAGCATATAATACTGTCTAAAACTTTATTTGGACAACTAGCCCTCCAGTAAGATGAGCCATATAGTATGGACAATGCATTGCTTTAAGTGGACTCTCCTTCTCAGCTACCCTTTATTCAAGGAAGGAGAAGTTTCTGGCACTTGTCCTCCTTGCAGCCAGCCACAGTCAGTTCCACATGAAGCAGCCTACACTGTGGTGTAAGTATTCTGTGGAATGAACAGAACACCCTCACTGATTTGGCACTTGCCACCTCTTCTTCTCTTTGTTTTTCTTTTAGTCAATTCTCCTTTTCAATTACATGTTAATGTTGTACCCACAGGAGCTCTGTTTTCTGGGTCAATTTTTACTAGGGATGGCTTCTTATTCCAGAATTACACTTTTGTTCTGGATTCACCTCTTTCCCCCCATTAAATATGGTACTTCCCATCGCATGGCTGTTGAGGCTCTCATTATTAGAGAAGTCTAAAAAAAAGAGAAGTGCAGTGGGCAGTAGGGGGTTAGTTTAGCTAAAACTAGAGGCTCTCACATCATCATATGCTGCAAATCCAGAGCTCTCCAGGGCTTTCCAGAGCAGCTTACAGGATACCAGTGGCTAGGTAGCCTTTTTCTTTCAGGAACATGACTAGAATTTGGATCTGAAAAATCATGAACCTCTTACTGGCTTTGCCATGAACCAAAAAAAAGACATAATACATCCACAGCCTCTCATTTTCCCACTTTTTGAGAGGTCACTGTTTCCCAGTAACAAGAGTTTCCTCCCAGCTAAATTTACATGTGCTCAACTTCTGTTAGGCTCAGCCCCTATTCCGCATCATAAACCATTGAAAAATTGCTCTATTACTTAAGTACTCTAGTCATCACACACACACACACACGCGCGCGCGCACACACAGATAGACGATAACCCATCTTCTACCTTAGAGCTGCTGCTGGATTCAAACAGGCAGAGAGGCACCACCTTTTTGTCAGCAACCTAATCCCTTGCCCACTAGGCCACTGGAGCTCCCTTGGACAGAGTAGACCATTAGAAAAATTTGCTGTCAAGGATCTCTCCAGAGTGCTGAAGAGCAAAGATGTCAGTCTAGAAACGAAGGTGTCTTTGATCAAGTCATGGACTTCACAATTACTTGTTATGCATCAGAGATATGGAAAGTAATTAAGGATGACAGAAGAAGAATTGATGCCTTTGAGCTGTGGTGTCGGAGAAGAGGATTGAACATATCATGAATTGCCAAGAGAACAAACAGATCTGTCCTGGAGAGAATGAAACAAAGCGGTTCTTTGGAGGCAAGAATTTTGAGATTCTGTCTCACATACTTTAGGCATATAGCCAGGAGATACTGGTCTTTGGAGAAGACTATCAGGTTTGGAAAGCTTGAGGGACAGTGCAGCAATGGATGTAGTGGATTGACATAATAACTGGGGTAATAATAGTAGGTGTGTCGGAGACACAGTGAAATTAACTCAGGATAGAGCATGGTTCAGAGCTATTTTGCATAGGGTCACTATGAGTCATGGTTGACATGACAGCACATAACAACAACAAGAAGAACTAGTCATCAGACTAAGAGAACTCTACATGGTTTAAAATTTAAAAAAGGTATGGTTCAGAGCTGTATCCTTTCTCCATACCTATTTAATCTGGATGCTGAAGAAATCATTCAAGAAGCTGGACTCTATGAAGAATAATGTGACACCAGGATTGGAGGAAGACTAATCAATAACCTTTGTGATGTAGAGCACACAAACTTGCTTGCTGAAAGTGAGGAAGACTTGAAGTGATTGCTGTAAAAGATCAAACTCTGTAGGTTTGTCTCAACATTAAGAAAGCAAAAACTTACCATTGGACTGATAGGCAACATCATGGTAAATGGAGAAAAGATTGAAACTGTCAAGGACTTAATTTTACTTGGATGCACAACCAATACACTTAGTACTAGCAGTTAGGGGGACAAGAGACCTATTGTACTCAGAAAGTCAGGGACTTCTCCAAATTTTTGAGATGCAATGATGTGGGTTTGAGTACTAAGGCAGCCTAATTCAAGCCATCATCTTTTCAGCTATGCATCTGAGAGCTAGATAATGAATAAGGATGACAGAAGAAGAACTGAAGCCTTTGAACTGTGGTGTTGGAGAAGAGGACTGAATATAACCTGGACTGCCAAAAGAATAAACAGATAAATATTAGAGAAGTTGTAGCCTAGGAGGCAAAGATGATAAAGCTTCATTGCACATACTTCTGGCATGTTGCTAGGAGAGGCTATTCCCTAGACAGAGACATCATGCTTGGAAAGGTGGAGAGATGGCAAAAGAGAGGAAGAACCTCAATCAGGTGGATTGAAGCAGTGACTGCAGCAATGGGCTTTAGTATATCAGATTATGAGAATGACACAGGATAGGACAGGGTAGAGATCTGTTGTTCATCGGGTCACTATGAGTTGTACTTGACTAATGGCACCTAACAACAACCAGACATTGGGGGTCCAGAACATTAATATTTTTTTTCAGGAAGCAAAAAAATATTTATTATGCAGACTACAGGTGGTACTTCTCTGACGGTTCAAATGGTGGGAGAAAGACGGGCAATTTCCTCTTGTGTGATTTACAGTTGCCAAAAATCTACTGAAGTGTGAGCTCTGAGTTGTCCCAGTCCTTATAATTCCTGTTTTCATTAATTTTTAGAGTTACTCAATATATTTTTCATTTTAAAACTTTTTGCTTTGCCTCAAACAGTTCAAAGTTTGCTAAACTCAGTCAGGAGTATCTGAAATAACTAGAGTTGCCATAATATCATAAATGGATGACTTTAAAGAACAGATATTTATTTTCTCACTATTCTGGAAGCTTAATGTCTTGTCTGTGTTGATTCTTCTAGAAGTCTCTTGTAAATTCTGGTGTCTTCTGAGGAAACCTTGATATTTCTTGCCGTCTCACTTAATCTTACAAGTCTCTGTGTTTATTCTGACATTTTTATTACTCAAGAGTGGTTATGTTTAGACCCATTCTACATGGTATGATTTTATTATACAACGAAAAAAGAGCTGCTTACAAACAGGGTCTCATTCACAGGGTCAGAAATTCAACACATATTTTGGAATGATATAATTCAGTACACAACAACAGGAATTTAATCATAAAAGAGTAGTCACCACCAAGCTAAAAACAAAGAAACAATACTCATGTGCTGGTATCTATTAACAGACATTTTATTTTCTTCAATAATGATAGAAAAGCATAGTTCTTGTATTTCTGAATGTTGTCTTGGGAGCTGTCAAGTCAGCTCTGACTGAGCAATCCTATAAACAACTAAAGGAAACTCTGACCTTGTGCAATCCTCTAGGAAACAGCTTGTAGGAAATAGACCTGCCATTATATCTGGGCCAAATAGCAACATCATGATAGCTGGAAAAGAGATTGAGATTGTTAACAATTTCAGCTTATTCGGATCTACAATCAAAGTTCTTGGCATTAGGAGCCAAGAAATCAAAAGATGAATTGCATTAAAAAAATCTGTTGTCAGGGACCTTTCCAGAGTACTGAAGAGCCAGAATGTCAGTCAAGAGACTAAGTTGTGCCTGATCCAGGCCATGGTCTTCTCAATTCCTTGTTATGCATCAGAGAGCTGGACAATGAGCAAAGATAACAGAAGAATTGATGCCTTTGAGTTGTGAGGCTGCAGAAGATTCTTGAACATTACCATGGACTGCAAAGACAACCAGCAGGTCTATTCTGGAGAGGGTGAAACTAAGCTGCTCCTTGGAAGCAAGGATTTTGAGACTCTGTCTCACATACTTTAGGCATGTAGTCAGGAGGGACCAATCTTTGGAGAAGAATATCACGCTTGGAAACCTCGAGGGACAATGCAGGAGAAGAAGACACTGGATGATATGAATTGACACAGTACCTGGGGTATGGACTCAGGGTCAAATCCTTGGTTTCACAGCCCCCCTCTCTGACTTTCTCCAAACCAGGGATTTGAGAAATGGTTGTAAACCCTAAATGCCCATGGGATGCTTTATAAACTCAACATCCATTAAACATTTGCAAAGAGAGATATCTTCTGGTAGACTAACCATTTGCTTTTTGAATCATAACAAACTAAAAATGGGAGACTAATTGTTTACAACTATTTGTTTGAATACATTTTTCCCCCAGCGTAGAAATAGAGCTGTTGAACAACCTTTTACTATGGGACACAGGAGAAGGAGCTTGAAGTACTAGAGTGGGTTGGAGAGAGTCCTACAGTGAGACCAGGAGACTCAGCTATCACCAACTTCCTTCTTGTCTTTGCCTTCATCCTCAGAGAAT